CTTAAATCAATTCTGAATCAAAGCTTGTGAAAAGAATTTAAATCCATCAATAAATGGCCGTTTAAAACCTAACACTATTTCGTAACTCTTTTTTTTTATTCGCCCCCCAGTATAGTTCACAAAGACGTAGTCCAACGTCAAAAATATGATTTTCTGTTTACTTTTCTAGTCTCAACATTCTTAAACATAGAGCATAGAGGAAATAGATTAATTCTCATGTGATTTGAGGCATCGCATGATGAATTTTGATCCAAGTCTGATACTGGCCACTTCCCTGGTAATTCCCCGAAAACTGACTGGATGTGGCCAGTGTGATCCTGGCTATTCCTAATAACTGACATTGAACTGGTTGTTGAATTTTAATGTGGTATCACATGATGGTTTTTGGCCATAGTCTGAAACTTGGCCAGGTGTAGCCAATGTGGCCCAGGGCTCTCCAAATAATGACTACAATTGAATTAGTTTTTAATTCTAATGTGATTTGAGGTGTCACATTATTCGTTTGAGGTTGGAATTAGCCTCATTATGGGGGCGACCCCGGCGTAGTGGTTAACATCCATACCTCTCACGCCAATGTCACGAGTTCAAATCTCACCCCCGCACAAGTCACGAATGACCCAAGAGTGTTAAAGTGACTATAATAAAAAAAATAGCTTCATGCCACACATAAACCGGAGTATGTTCCGGTCATATTTCCGGAACCGGTTGACCGATTCCAAGAAATATTCAAAAATGCTCTATTTGACCATAATACCTTTCATTTGGCGGTTGATGCGTCCCATTCGGTTTAGTGCTGTGCAACAAGGCACTTAGCTCCCTTCGCGCTAGTTGTCTTAGAGCCAGAAGACGTGTTCAGAGAGCAAGACAGAGAGGATCGTAGAGGAGTGTTCCGAGCGCCACACTTAAACGATAGACAAAACAGGGAGCTGTGTCTAGACGCTGAAGCCAACCCCTGCGAAGATCAGAGGTCCAACGATGCCCGCTGAAATGTGCCCAGAGAAGCTGAAAGTTATCGTGGAAGGTTTTTTCTCGAAGCACGACCCAACGACCTGGCCACCTACACCGATAGTCGAAGTTTCCAACGAGGAACTCGTAGCAGTGGTGAAAGAATTGAAAGTGAAGAAAGCTCCCGGTCCGGATGGAATCCCTAACGTGGCGTTGAAAGCGGCGATCCAGGCGTCTCCGAACATGTTCAGGATAGTGCTGCAGAAATGCCTGGACGAGGGTCATTTCCCTGACAGGTGGAAGATACAGAAGCTAGTGTTGCTGCCGAAACCAGGAAAATCACTGGGGGATCCAGCATAGTATAAGCCTATATGCTTATGCTTGCTGGATACACTAGGAAAACTCTTGGAGAGGATCATCCTAAACAGGCTGTCGAAATGCACTAAGTTCGGATTCCGAAAAGGGAGATCAACGGTGGATTTAATTCATTCAACAGCGCCAGCTGGGAGGCCATCGTCCAAGCGCTGCATAGAACGAGGCTAAGGCTAAGCTATGGCTAAGTTTATTAACGTGTCTTTAAACTGTTCCCCTGCTAGAGGAGAATTTAGTTCATTCGAGACGGTGTTCAAACAGCAGCTGTTTCATCATCGTCCCCCATTGGGTCGTCCTCCCTCACACACCATGGTCTTAAGGACCTTAAAGACTGCCTCTTGTCGAATGAAGTGGACACTAGTCATTTTCTTTCCAATGCCACTTCAACTTACTTATGCTTATATCATATCGTATAAGTCAACCGCCCGCAGGAAGTTGAGTACAGTTTGTTCTGTACTCCTGTCGTTGAACAAGGCAGCCCTAAGTATGCACCTTTAGAATTGATAAAACGATCCATAAAATATTGAAAAACGTTTCATAAAAAACATCCAAATTATCCATAAAACATCGGAGAAAATCCTTAAAAAAGTGTGAATGATCCATAAAAAATATCAATATTATCAATATTTTATGTGAAATTTAGCAACACAATTGTAAAAATTTACCGCTAGATTTCTAAAGAATGAGCATTGAAACTGTACGAATTACCCATAAACATATTGCAATTGATCCATAAAACATTCAGCAATGAACCACAAACTAAAGAAAATGATCCATAACAAATCAAGTTTGAGCACTTAAAATTATAGGCATGATCCATAAATTAGACGTAGGGGAAATGGCTCTAATGTAGGCCTATGGATCTAAGATTGGGCCTATCGCTAAAAATCTGCTATTTATCAATTGTATCAATATGAACGCGTCATTGGGACAGTACTAATTGATATTTTTGGTTGCTATTGAAAATCTAGTCGATTGCTGAATTTATGTATGGGCCCAAATTAGGGACACTTAGGCCAACATTACATACACTTCCCCTATATTATTCATGTTTAGGACACTCCGCTGCATATCTACTTAGATTTACTGTCCTGCCCGTGTATTTTCAGTAGAGGTGCGAAGCGACGGGCAAGCGTCCAGAATTAGCTTCCAAAAGAAGATTCTATAATAATATTCTTAAGAAGCTTCCTATGGAAGCTTCATTTAAAAACTTCTTTAAGAAGCTTATTCTATTTTATGGAACGTTTTCCAATATTTTATGGATCATTTATTGATTTTTATATTCAAAAGTATGTTTGCCGCTGAACAATACCTCTCGGATTGAACCAACGACACCCATATCTTCCCTCAATTGTGCTCTTGCCGGGCACTCCACCAATAGATGATTTAAATCTAAAACCACACCGCATCCCTGGCAGTAGGCCACACTGCCGCTAAAACGAGGTTCATGAGTGAGCCGTGTATGACCAATCCTCAGCCTAATCAGAACTTTCTGATCTCGAGAATTAAGTGCATCTTTCCACTCTTGTGTAGTATTTATTATTTCCAGAACCGAGACCTGGTCTTCGAGACAGACATGGGACAGAGATCTATTAGGACCACAGCGAGAGTTCCACAAGGCTCTATCCTTGGTCCAACGCTTTGGAACAAGGTGTACAACAGCTTCGAGAAGGCTTCGAAGGCCATCAACGCGATAGCTAGAATCAGAACAACTCTGGTCCCATCAGTAGCAGAAGGTACTGAGGTATGGAGGTCCACCCTGTGTTGCAGCGCTGGAAACGAAGCAGAACCAAAGGAAACCGAGCCACACGTTCCAGCTCATGGCCATGCGAGTCGTGAGTGCGTACATAACCATCTCGTCGGAGCAGTATGCGTTATCAGCTGAATGATCCCTATCGGCATCACCCTGGCGCAGGACAGCGAGTGCTACAAGCGGAGAGAAGCCGGAAGAGTACGGAAAGTTGTGAGAGCGGAGTCGTTGGCTAAGTGGCAACAGGAGTGAAACACGGCGGAGAACGGTTGATGGACACATAGACTAATACCGATTCCTTTCGATTTGGGTGAACATGAAACATGGAGAAGTCAACTTCCAGCTAACACAGTTCCGGTCTGGCCACGACCAGTGTGGCAGTGTGGCAACGTCGGTGAAACGCCGGAGCATGTGGTCTTCGACTGTCCAAGGTTCGGGACAGTGCGAAGGAAGATGCCCTCTTCCAGCCAAGAATCCAGAAATTTATCTTTTTAAATCGTGGTTGAACAACTGTTTTCCAAAAACATCAGGACAGCTGTACGGATAACTTTGTGATACACTGTATGTCTAAAAAACAAACGTCATCGTATGCTTTCGTATCATGAAACGAGGCTATGTTGAAAATGCTACACGGTAAGAAAAAAGTACCCAACGGTCAGTTCACTTTTACCTACTTGTGACTAGTTTGTCTCCTTTTCTCCTTCTAATGTTGTCAAAAACGGAGGAGCAAAACCACCCAACAGGGGTAGTAAAGTGTGGGAACCTAACGTTGAGTATAATCATATTTACCTACTGTTGGGTACAACTAACTTACTTTTGGTTAAAAAGTCATTGGAAAATTCCATACGAACTGCACACAAGTAAATGAAAATTACTTTGAACCGCTTTACCTACTTTTAGGTTCCTGCACTATAGTGCCGAGATGAGTGAAAAGAACTTAATTTTGGGTACTTTTTTCTAACCGTGTATGCTTGAAAATTTGTATCATCTATTGTTACATACTAACTGTGACGGTCCGGAGCTGCTGTTTATCATCAAAGCTCAGTCGCCTTAATGGAGGATTGAGACTTTCTTATTGCTCATTGTAGATGATCGTCTCCTACTTCTTAATTAAAACTTTAGGTACAGTAAACAGTACTTTGCGAAAAACTCTCACTAATTGGTTGGAAAGACCGACTTCATCAAGTATTTGCGCCAGACAAAACAAGATTAGTACAACGTTGCCAGAGCAACTTTTATCAGTTGTAGATAACAATGCATTAGAAACGCGTGTGAGGGTGCAGACCCGTATTCAGTTAATGCTGATAGCATTTCTGAGCAAACTTGAGACAGTTTACGTGCGCTATTTTTGCATTTGTAAAATAATTTTCTCTTTAAACATGATTCCTATCTACATGCCTTTGCTTGTTTTGTTTTATTTTATCTTAGTAGCTTTAATACTATCTAGGTCATTCGTGACATCTCTGGGGATGAGATTTAAACTCATGAACCCCAAGCCCATCCCCTTTCTCTACATCAATCAATCAGCTCTCTTTGTCCACATTTTCAATAATTCACTAGCTAACCAATGAATAAATGCTATAAATTACTTGTTTGAAAATCAGTAGTCAACCAAGATACTCAAATTTGAAATAAGTTAGAAATTATAATTTTGTCCTCATCCATTTTTAAGGGCATTTACGCTTAGTTCGACTTTTTGAAGAATAAGCGATGTAAAATGCTCTGATGGGCAAGGAATCTTCATGTGAACTGATGGTCCAGTAAAAAAAACAGATTTTCTATTTTGCTAATCATAAGGAATTCCCAAAACAGTACACCCGTTATCTATGCATTGATTTACGACCTACACCGATTGCCAATCGAATCCAGTCATCAAATGACGTACATGTTCACAATGTTGATATAAAAACCTAATCCCCACGGGGTTAAACGTTTCAGTTTAATTTCTACAATGAACCGCTCGTGTATTCTATTGCTGATTGCCGCAGCAGTTTGCTCTGCGTTTGCAGAGCAGGCTCGCTTCGACAACTATCGTGTCTATCAGGTTATCATTGCCACGGAACAGCAGCTGCAGACATTGCAGTATCTGGAACAGCATCCCGATGGCTATATTTTCTGGGATCTGCCCGCTCAAACCAACATGGAACTGGAACTGGTGGTACCACCGCACAAGTATGCCGATTTTGAGGAGTTGGTCACCAAGCTGAACATGAAGACTCGATTGATGATCAAGAATTTCCAAGAGTAAGCTTTTCACGAGGGTTTGTTCGATACCTGTCCTTATATTCCAAAAATCTTCCAGAGTCATCGACAACGAACGACCGAACAAGAGCCAGCGCAATGGCTTCGGTTGGACTGACTACTACTCAACGGCCGATATCTACGCTTGGTTGAACGAGATGGTTCAGAGCTATCCGGGAATTCTGTCCAGAACCGTATATGGCAACTCTTTCGAAGGTCGCGACCTGATTGCTGTTAAACTGTCCCACAAGGCCAACAATCCTGGAATTTTCATCGAAGCCAATATCCATGCCCGCGAATGGGTGTCATCGGCTACGGCTACTTGGCTACTCAACGAACTGTTGACCTCCAGCAGTCCAGCTGTTGTCGATCTAGCTCAAAACTACGACTGGTACTTCATTGTGATGGCCAATCCCGATGGATATGAGTTCAGCCGAAATAACGTAAGTCTTGATAGCGTTTTTGCTCGATTGAAGAATATAATCGTTCCGTCTCAAACAGAACCGGATGTGGAGAAAAACTCGTCAACCAGCCACTATTCTGTGTGTTGGAGCTGATCCAAACAGGAACTTTGACTACAATTGGAGAAGTGAGTATTCTCATACTGGGTTACGAATCGGTCGATAACCCGATTTTTCTATCAGATGGAGGATCCTCAACGAATGCATGCTCGGACACGTTCTCGGGAGCAACCCCCTTCTCCGAACCGGAAACTCTAGCTATGGCCAACTACTACGCTACGATTGCCGACAAAATTGACGTTCAGTTTTCGTTCCACTCCTACGGTCAGTACCTGCTGACTCCGTACGGTTTTACTGGTGCTCCACAGCCGTCAAACAATGCCGATCTGCAGCAAATCGCCGCCAAAACTGCTGCAGCTATCCAGGCCACGTACGGAACACGATACACTTACGGAAACAGTGCTCAAGTTCTATGTAAGTTTACAAATGTACGTGAATGAATGAGAACGGTATATTCAGACCCAATCTTTTTTTCGTTTCAGACGTCACCTCTGGAAGCACCAACGACTATTTCATGGGAGTTCATGGCACCAAGCTGTCTTTCACGTTCGAATTCAGAGACACCGGATCCACTGGATTCGTACTGCCAGCCAACCAAATCATACCCAATGCCCAGGAGACACTCAATGGACTGATTGCATTCGTTGCCGAATCGAAGACTCTTGGATATTTTTGAGATTAATAGCACATGCTTTATTCATAATATAATGCTTTGAAAAGAGATAAACATGGTTCTAGTTCCTTTGTCCTTGGGTTTTGAAGTGACGAATGTAGGACGTCAGTAGGTCATCCATTTTGTAACCTTGTTTCGTTTCCAAAAGCAGCTTTGATGAACCCATCATGTTTCCGAACTTGATGTGGAAGTACGTGTTGCCCGAGCTCCAGAAGTTAAGCTCCATGTAGCTGTACTGAGTGAGGAGGTCCTGAAATCAATCATATTTTTTTTTATTAGAACTACGAATATCTCAATATGAAATTACAATCTTACTTTGGTGCGTGGATCGATCAAGTTGAAACCATGCTTGTTGATCGCCACCAACAACGTCTCCGGAAGATTCTGATCGGTTGCCTGCTTGACAACGAAGAACGTCGATCCAAACATGGGGAACTTGTGGACAATATTGACGTACTCTAGCTTCGCCCTTGACTGACTTATTCCATTCAACGAATTCACCTTCGCAATGATATCCTTCTTCCACTGATCCGGTTTCTGCATTCTCACAGCGTCTTCTGGGACTAGTGAATGCATCATCTCTGGGAAGGACTTATGGAGCAGCTGCATATCAGCCTCCTCGTAAGTTGCCCAGAATATGTACCCAGCAAGATCAACGGCTTCAAGCTTGGACACTTTGTAGTATCCCTGCAATAGCTTTGGAACTTCCTGGTGGAAGTAGAACATTTCGTCCGCGAGTGGGTCCTTTCCAGGAACTACGTTGATCCACAGTTTCTTCATGAAGAACAACTGGTATTCACATTGGATCCTGTTGTCATTCGATCGAGACGGAAGTGTTTCACGCATCCATTCCATCAGTTCATAAATGAAATCGAAGATGAAGTACTCCTCCGGTACTGAGAAAACCTTATCACCAATCTTGATGAACAAACTGAAACCTTCGTTCGACTTCAGCTCCAACCGTTTTGTGATCGTCTGCAGCAAGTCCTTGGTCTTGGTAGACGATTCAATCTGGAATGCCTCATCCGTATCGTCAGGGAAGTAGACCTTATGATATATTTCAACCGTGCGATAACGGATGGCTTCCGCTTCGACTACATACGGCGGATATTTCCTATGGCCAAGCTTCAATGTTTTCTGCACTCTCTGTAGACATTCGGCTGCAATCGGATGCTTTCTGGTCTTCAAAAATTCAAACAGCTCCTTCAGGACCTGCTGACTGGGAACCATCACTCCAGTTGCCAGCCACAGTAGATCCCAGCCACGTTCTTCGCTGATCTGGATCTGATTATCCGTGAGCTGACGCATAATCTGACAGTACAGCTCGTCCCTCAGCAGGTCGTCGTTTAGCGCCGGTCTAAATATCTTATCGGTATCAACCGGTTCGCGGCCCTTCGGTAGATCTCCCATGTACTGTGAAAAAATTGTGAAGTTTAGTAACATCGGATAGAGACATGATGAAATAGACAACTATACTTTCAGAATCCAGGTAAATAGTCCAACCGCCGTGTCAACTCTGGCTTTATCGTGCTGCAGCTTCTGCAGCAGTGGAGCCTTCATTGGCTCCCGAGTATGTCTCCAAAGTTCCTCGGATGACGATTTTCTCACGCTGCTCAAGGTGGCGGAAGAGGATGCCAAGCTGTTCGAAAAGATTCGAATTAGAACACGACTAATGCCGTCGCTTTGTTACCCAAAGTCGATACAATGATTTCGCGCTTTTGTCAGCCCCTCCGCGCATCAGACATTTTTCTTCTACTAATTTCACCTAGACTTGATTCCACGTCATCCACGTTCATCTTCAATATGATTCGTTGCGGCATATTAGAGGGTAATAAAACCACATGAGTTTGGAAGTCGACAGAAAATATCTCAAATGGGGAGGTGACAAAATCGGGAAAGCACTGTTGTTTTGATTTTTATCCAAACTGTCAATTGATGAAAATGAAGTAAATGAAAACAGATTTTTGAATAATCGAAGTGTGCCCTGCTTCTAAACGGACGCGAAAATTTGTCAGTTGTCATATTTTTCGTTTTTGTTTTTTTTCGATTTTTGCTTGAAAGCGCTTGATAAGATTTTTCTAGAAAGTGCGTGGGTATAAACATTGAAGGATTCCATAAGTTTTTTTTTTACGGAATTCCGGTCGTGTGAGCTGTGATTCGGGTTTTCCGTTATTTTCGGTTCCGTCGTGAGATTTGTATTTTCCAGTGCGCGGTTCAAGAGTAAGATTTGCGGGTCGCCATTGGTGCTTTTACGATTTTGATTACCTCTGATATTTAAGAGCAGCTGAATGCTGAAGATTCGGAAACCAGCAGCAGTTCCTTTGTATTATGTGTTATGTGTCCGAGCTGAAAAAGAAGGAGGACGAAGACGGCCAGTGGCACATCTATCGCTAGAGGCGATGCCGCTCTTCTGTTTCTGCTGCTTACAAAACGAAAACTCTGTGATTGGGACCATGTCATTTTTGAGAGATCGGTGAAATCAGAGACGTTGATAGAGACGCGCAAAGAAAATTTCTGTCAAAACAGCAGCACGGTTTTTGAGGGATCTTTTGGCAAGGTCATTGGCAACCATGGAGATAATAGAATAAGGTATTGCTGAAGCCATCATTTACCTTATCAAATATTTCGTGAAAATAATTAAGCACTTTTTTCATAATTGAGAACAATACTCCTTTCTGGTGAATTGAGCGAACAGTAATGTTTATTTACTTTGCTCGTTTGGTTCAGCGTTTGACGGTTCGTTTGGTTCTTCTTGCTTCCGTCTATGCGTGTCTCTATTCAACGTCTCTGGGTGAGATCATTCCATATTTTATATTATTTTGCGAACAATTTGAATTTGTATATGGCAACAAGTTGTGTGTTGGGTTCTTGACATTGCTGGTGTTAATGAAAATCGATCGATAAAGCAGACTTGAATTTTTCCTTATTTCCACTGTTGAACTCTGGTCAGCTGGCGTGAAGACACAAACTCACAAACACAGATATCCAGTTAAGGGGAATTTCACGGCTCCGAAAAATAATTCCGTTTTGATTTTTGTAAAGGTATTGGAGAGGAGACATCACAAATTTCTAGTCATCATGGCATAAAGCTGGACTCAAAAAAACACAAAACAGCGACATAGTTTCTTTTTAATTATGAGACGAAAAACATGTTTTTGCATGTGAATTTTCTCAGAAATTTGAGGAGGGAACTGATTTTCTTGGATTTTTTTATGGTTTTCTCCGGTATTTGCACAGTAGGCCTGGCCGTTTTGATATATTTTGCGCATCTCTGCAACATATACCAAATAGACAAGAAAAATGATGGAGGTATATTTCAAGACCAACAATTGAAACGGCCTCAACTCCATTTTGCAAACAAACCTTGTAAGCCAATTTTGTTGTGAACCGAAGTATGCCAAACAAACTTACAAAATGAACAGGTAGGGGAAATTCTCATCCGATTGTGATTTTGGTTTGCGAATGTAAGTTTTGGTTCGCGAGAAAATAGCCTTACATGGTTTGTTTACAAAATGGAGTTGAGGCCTTTTTAATTGTTGATATTGATTTATCATTTTCCAGGATGCTTTCATGAACTGGCTGTGTTGGTATTAGATTAGATTAGATTAGATTAGATTCGATTAGAAACTGGACAATTGTGCCTCCTCTCAACTAAGTATTCTTTGAAGCACTTCCAAAGTTGGACCGGCAATCAAACCTGCTGCCTCCAACATGGTATTGTCGTGTCTTAACTGAATATACTATCTGAGGTATATCTGGCATTTGAATACAACATTTAAAAGACGAGCAACCTTGTCAGAATTCAAGGGACACAACCACCGCAAAAAAAAAAACTGAACAAATACACAAATCTCCCAGCTGTGCTAGAAAATTCGATAATAGTTTTAACCTTTGATTGGTAGGTTTGCGGGATTGAGTCTGTATCTGTCTATGTTTTGAAATCATAAGAGTGATTAGTGGGCCTGTCTTCTTGATGTATTTTCGTCATCGACCAAGTGCAGGACAATTTCGATTACAATGTTAAAATCAAAAGTTTCTACATGAAATGCTGTCAGAACCGCATAAGAATCATACAACTATTTCTCAGATCATAAAACATACCTTATAGGAGACCTGAACTGATCAGCTCCAAATCGCTGCAAATTGTGCATCTTCCTTCTCTGAATGGTATTGTAATTTGGGGCTGCATGCTTTCTAGCTTTAAGAACTCCCTCTTTCTGTAATAATAAAACACATTTAGTATTGACAAATGACAACCATCTCCGGAATCTTACCCGATATAGATTCAACACCATCGCCGGGGGAGGCATGATTGTCGGTAGTACGTAAACGGCTTCCGTTGGAAAGTAGCCCGACTTTCCATTTGATTCTCCGTAACCCCAAGTAGCATCTTCCGCCAGGATCGATTCTCCAGTGAAACCTTGTCCCAACGTTACCAAATCACCCTTCAATAAGCTCAACATCGATTCCGTTTGTTCCTCACTCGAATGGGTTCGTATAGCTACGGCGTAGATGCTTCTGTTGCGCAACTCCTTCAGGATGTAGTTTACCAAATCTGTTAGCGGCTTTGCTTCGAAAGACTTGAACACGTAGTCCTCCTTCTGAATTGTACTGATGAATAACGTTCCCACTTCACTGGCATCACCCTCGTCACAATCCATTTGCATGATCTCCGGGTAAGACAACTCCACCAGCACTTGCTCCTGATCATCCACAAAGTACACTCCAGACCAGTTGACCGAAATGATCACATTACTCGACGGAAGCTTGGTACCATCGATTTGAACAGCCTCGTAGAACCGAGAGAACATCATACCCCAAGTCAACTTAGCAAACAGAACGATATCCTCCTTGGCCACTATTCTCTGCAAACCATCCTTCACGCAGCGACTTCTCTTGAATGCCGTTTCAATCAATTGCACCCAGCGAGAAGCAGTATCCGGTCTAACCAAGATCCTCGGTAAATAGTCCTTCAATCGTTCCTGAAGTGTCTTGGTGTTTAACTCCAATCCATAATCAGCATAGTACTGCAGTGCTGCCAGCATAGCAATATCTTTATCCGAAGTGCTAACCAACTCCCCAAGGTTCACCCCACGCACAACCTGGGCATAGATTAGGTTCGTAGCGATCGCATCCACTGACGGATCGTGCCACGGAGCAAACATTTCCTTCCGGAAGAATATCTTCCAGGATGCACTCCTCTCATTGCCTCCCTGTTCCTTGGCATACTGTTCACAGTTAGAAATGGCATCCATGATGAACTCCCGTCCACTTTGCAAGGGCAAAACCTTATCCTGTAGCATTACAAAAATGGAAAATCCAAAATCGTCCTTCAGCCCGATACTGTTTGCCAGCTTCTGGCACATCTCATCGGCCGTGCTAGAGGAATCGATGTCCACATTCTTGCTGGCCCCATCCATCATGGTTACGGAAACTGTGATCGGTTTCTTGCTTTTGTTCGCTTGCAGCTCCAACCATGACGGTGGTTGTCTCCTAGCGCCATTCTGTATCGTACGATCGAGCCGATGCTCACAGAAAGGAGCATACAGCTGCGGTCCATCCCGAATAAATGACCTTAGATATTTTTCAAATCGCTCCGAAGGTGGGAAACATCCTACACAAAGCGATAGCAAAATCCACCCCTTAGAATGGGAGGTAGAATTGGGATTGTTCGTCAGCTGCTTGCAAATCTGGCAGTAGATCTCGTCTCTCAATTGCTTGTTCAATATGCCATGCCCAATGATAAAATGCAACTTGTCCAAATTAGAGCTTCGGTTGTTCAAAAATTCCTGATAATCCGCAATCTCATCGGTATTCTCCACGATCGCTTTCAATTCCGCAGGAATTTTCGATTTCCGTTTCAACGTCCTATGGATCAACTTCCGTTCATGCTCGGACAAATTTTGCTGAAAAGCTTGGAAGTCTTTCGTTTTGGCAAAATTCCGCCCCAACGTAACGGTCAACTTTTGCATGACGGGCTTGTGCTTGACTTCATCGCTGTCGTCCTCATATCGCGCCTCCGCCATATCTCCCATGAAACGCAAAATCGTTATCCACAGTGCCTGTGATTTGATGGGTGAGGGGCAAAGTCACGATTCAGTAATCCGGAAAGAGAGTATAAATTTAATTAAGCCAATCTACAAACCTGTGCTGAAATGGTGTCGGCCGGGCTGGGTAAGTCTACCAGCGAGGATTTAAGCTTGCGTTTGCTGAACTGATAAGACGCATTGTTGACAAAGTACGTGGCCGCGTACTTGGCAAAGTTATAGTCGGATAAATCCTCGCGGTAGGGAAAATTTTCGCCATTTCTCAGGTAGATGGTATCGGGGGCGCTGTCGCTGTCGCTGTCCTGTTGTAAGATCCAAATGTTACATTAGGACAACTTATGGTACGTAATCAAAGATTTGATGATTGATGACTTCCAATTTACAAAATGACAAATGATCGAGCAGAACGCTTTGTCAGAAATGGAAAGCACTAATGATATAACTTTCTTCCTATTTTTTCACGACAAACAGTCTCTGCAACACATCTCGCTCGGGCCAACGAAATTGTTGACAAGCTGCTTCATGAAGTAAAGCCGAAGATGATGCACGTGTGTTAATGGGAATTGTTTTGTTATGTCTTTTCTAGATTCCGATCAAGTTGTGTCCTCAACCATATTATTGCAACAAAGCAGACAAGCAATATATCCTTCTACCCCTCAGATTCAACTATGATGCAAATAGAGTTTGTCTTAGTAGTCGTAGCAAGCGTTTTGTCTGTATCATCGGTTGCTTTATGTGTTTGAATTCGATGTAATGACATGTGTGTTGTTTATCGATTTGAGTGATGTATGCTTGAGCAGCCTTACCAGTGTGTTATTAGAAATGGAAGATCGTGAAAACTGTATGGTTAGTATGCATCAGACAATGGAAAATGGAATCGACCGGTGTAACATGAAAAACGAATTGTATATTATACATAAATACATAATGGAATGGAAATTGTGAAGTTTATAAAACGCAAAAGGCTATAGTGGTCTGAGCATGTAGCACGAATGTCGGATGAGCAACATGCGAAAATAAAGTTCAGTAGAGAACCCGGAAGAGATCGTCGACTCCACAGCAGATATCGCACACGCTGGCTTAATGCTGAAGGACATAAGATCACATTTTGTCCATAGCGACTGGAAGCGATTGGCTCAGGACTCATAATCCAGTGCACTCTCATGGCGGTAAGCTCCAATCGGTATTATCCTCGGATTAAATCCCGATCAAGAATGTCCGGCTGCTTTGATGTCGACATCAGAGTTATTCAACACGATGCTATGCAAACAATTCGCAGATCATCCAAACAGGGACGGTATTAAAAATTATTCCATTTTGGAGTTTACCGCCATCAATCTAGCAATCATGCCTTTGCTGATCGCTGATAGCTCAACTCAACATGCAACTAAAGTGTGACCCATTTAGAATTGGAACAAAAACAATTGTGCATATTTCGAATGTAGAACAACAAAGTATAAACCTGTTTCAACTAAAATGTTGAATTTTAAAAGTTCTTAAAAGGAAAAATACAAAAAAAGGTACTTTTCCAGACTCATCAACCGGCACATACTATTTGCAACCATTGTTTCGGCATGCTTATTCCACTTTGTTTTCAATTCATTAATGTTTTTAACGACACTGCCAATTCACCTACAGCTTCCTTTTCATAATAGCCCTAAACCACTCTTCCGGTCTGAGCTGGGAACAATTAGGTGGGTTGAGTTCTTTCGGAATAAACTGAATCTCGTTAGTTTCAATCAATCAATACGAAACTAACGATTTTAAATTGGCTCACCACTTTAGTAGCCTATTGGTCCCAAGCAAACGATTAACGTACCCTATTCTAGTTGAAATTCTATTACTACACTATGTTTGTTTTGATTCGATATGAAAGTTTGACAGATAACATCAGGGGTGTGTGGATTCATGCAGAACATGCAGGGGTGAGTGAAATAGCTTGGGACTGCTTGGGACCGTTGTTCTGGTACTGAGTGAGCCAAAAATAATAATGATTTTCTTCGGGACCCAGTGGTCTTAGAGTTACCTCTATGGTTCTACCATAGAGGTAACTCTAAGACTAAAAGGTCCCTAAGAAACGTGCTGAACTTTTTGGCTCAGCTCTGGTACTCTCTTCGGTCTCAAGCTAATCGATGCACCCCTCGAAACATAGGAAAATCCACGAACCCCTCATTTTATCTGTCAAACTTTCATAGCGAATCAAAACAAACATAATGCTGTACTAGAATTTCGACTAGAATGGGGTACGTTAAACGATTTTCTTGGGACCAATAGGCTAGTCAAGTAGTGAGCCAATTTAAAATCGTTAGTTTCCACCGGTTGGTTTTACCACGTTTTACTATAATGGCAGCTCGCATGATCTGGCAAAAACATGACAGGTTGCTTGTGGGATCGGATGAATGGTAATACTCATTTTTAGAGACATTCCGTCCTGTAAAGCTCTGAATTTAATGTCTTATCTGTGATGAAAACCTTTGTCTTCTTACCGCAGCTACAGATGCCCTACCAAATCATGTATTTGCGTGCAAATTTATCTGCAAATCACAATCTTGAATTGAGCAGGATCATCTCCCCGAGGCTACATTATTTAGCTTTTGATCCCTATTTAGTTGTCTGTAGACACGGTATGACTTGAAGCCTTCCCGGAGACGAATCCGTTGCACGGTACTGCGTGCGACACCGAACTTTTTGGGCAAATCACGGCCCGAGATGTTTGGATTAGACTTAATGGTCGTGATGAAATTATTCCACAGTTGACGGTTGACAGCATCCATCAAGTTGACGAAAGAAGTAAAAAGCAATTGTTGAATGCCGTCTTCGGTTGTGATCCATCACCGATCTGGTACTTCCCGACAATCACGACAATCATCTGTGCTCGTTTTGAACCAGTTGCTGCTTTGCTTGCTTATGTGATTGTGTTGGTGAGTGAGCCCAACAGCTTCCGTTTAATGTTGTCTGCTTTGTTTGTAACTCATACAGTCGCGCTTGCCGGGATGAACTTCGAATGCATAGGCATTGTTTTCATTTTCTGTCGTTTCGCTTTTTCTCATGGTTGTGATTTTCATCATCAGCAGCAAGCGTAACGTTTTGCTTGTGAGTAGCGACCATTAAGCTGGGTTTAGACAGGGCAAGTCAATTGATCAAGTCAGTTGAATTCAATTGACTTGAACGCGAATTGAACGTGTAAACCATGCCATTCAACTGACTTGATCAACTCACTTGAATTGAAAAAAGTTGAACCAGGCTCAACTTTTCAAGCCAATTGAATTCAACTGAGTTGATCATTTGAATTGCCTATTCTAAACCCAGCATTACTGGTGATTGTTGTTTGCCATGGCTCTACCTCTCACTGCGTGACAAAACGTTCTGTCAACGATAGTCAGTTGAAGCGTAGACGAGTGTCACGTGAGTGGCATGATATTTTGCATCACTGGTTGACAGTTCTCGCCCGCTTGCTTTGTGGCTTACAAACCGTCGAAATGGTTCCGCTGTACTTTTTCATTAAACGGTTTTTTTCTGGGAGAACTTAACTCTTTTACAAGCTTAGGTCCAGACCACGAAGGGTTTTCCAAATGACTGCACACAATTATTGTCCTTGTTTCTTCTTCCATTTTGAGTTTCTATGAAGCACGTTCGAACTGCGCTTCGATTTTTTATCCCCTTTTAGTAAGCTAGTGCATTGTAAATTTTTGCTTTCGTTCGTTTTTACTTGTGTCTCTGTAGTGTTGCATGTAAAGTTTATGTGTATAGGTGATATATATGGCTGAGTGTGCAATATGTAATTTGGGGATTTTGGTAAGTGATTTGCCGGTTATCTGTGTGGGTAAGTGTGCTCGTGTATTTCATTGCAAGTGCACTACACTCACGCGGACTCAGGCAAAGCTTATCACAGATAATGCAAATGTTCTATTCAAGTGTAGTAATTGTCTGTCAGATCAGAGTTGTGACGAGCAGAATGTATCGGTTTCGGATACCAAAATGCTGGGGGAAGCAATGAAGCAATTGTCTTCTGTTGCTGACTCTATCACTGGTATACGAAACAACGTTGCTGCTCAGATAGACAACGCGTTGAGAATTGGCATGGAAAAAATGCAACAAAATATGAACGATTCTTTAAGTTGCTTTGAAAAATTAATTAGTGAGAAATGGAATACGATGACTAGTTCATGTTTTGAAATTAGTACGGAAAAAAATTTAGCTGCAACGAATGGTGCATCTAGGACGGTTCATTCTGAATCGGACCGAAATCCCAGACGCAAAAAACGTAAATTTCAAAATAGTGACAACGATTCGACTGATGATGTTTTTCAAGAAAATGCGAGTTTTGCGGATGTTGTAAAAAGATCTAGTCATGCAAGTAAAAGTAAAAATATTAGTAACAGTAATAGTAACATCAACAGTAACAGTAACATTAACAGTAACAGTAACAAACAGAGTAATCGTAAGACTCGTCCGGTCATTGTGATCAAACCAAAAGAGTCCAAACAAGCTTGCGAAGATACTCGTAAGTTTTTGAAAACTCAGTTGGATCCAAAAACACACAAAATCAGTAATTTTAGGAATGGTAAAGATGGCTCTATTATTGTTGAGTGTGCAACAGGAGCTAATCTTAATGATGTAAAAACTGGTATTGAAAGCAATCTGGGTGAACAATATAGTGCTGTTGTTCCCACTTCGGTGCCAAGATTGAAAATAGTGGGCATGAGCGATCAGTTTTCCTCCGATGTCTTCATTGACTACTTAAAAAGTCAAAATGAAGACATCGCTATAAATGATGTTAAAGTAGTGAACATGTTTGAAAATCCACGCTTCACTTATAACAAGTTTAGTGTTGTAATTGAAGTCGATGTCGATACTTATAAATGTTTGTTATGTGCGAAAAAAGTAAATGTAGGGTTTGATCGGTGCTCGATAGTTCCCGCGATTAATGTGTTGAGATGCTTCAAATGTGGAGAATTTGGGCACAAGAGCATGGATTGCAAAAATTGTGATAGATGCTCTAGGTGCAGCCAACAACACAAAACGTCGGAGTGTACGTCAACTGTATTGAAATGTATTAATTGTTTGAAAACGAATAAAGAACGAAAAATGAACTTGGACGTCAACCATGCCGCATTTAGCTCGGAATGTTTGCTCTATAAAAGACTTTTTGATCAGAAGAAAAGCAGCTTGCGTTTCAATAAATAGCAGCCAAGTTCCAGGAATGTGAATCAATTCGATTTTTTATACTTGAATATTGCGGGGTTGTCAACAAACTACGTAGCATTACGTCAGATTGTTGAGGAAAAACGTCCTCTTTTAG